TTTCCTGACCCATGTCGAGCGGGAAGACAGCATGGGGTTGGTGGTTCAACAAAGTAGTATAGGGTTGAGGAAGGACAGACAGTGCTCAGTAGGTCGGACTTAAAATCTTGTCCGGTCCGTATCACAAGCGGCCTATCTGACCAGATCGTAGCCTGATTTTTCACCTTCTAGATAGTATCCAAGAATTGGGGGCTCTGCCTCACTTTCAATCGGCACCCCAAGAAGTCCTAGGTACCTTTTGTGTCATCGGTCCGTTTCAAGGTAAGGTTCTCAGGGTAGTTTTTTTCAAACTTGTCCCGAACAACCACCGCCCTTGTCAGTGACTCCCAACCGGGCCGCCTGGGTCATGAAGAAAAACTAGACTACCAACTGGGCCGCCCGATCACCCTATTTTCCCGAACGGCCCGGCCGTGCAAGGACCAGGGAAGATTTTAACAAAAAAATAATAATAATAAATAAAAAAAGTCAAAAAAAAACTATGTTACTAGGCTACCAGAGTGGTCCGGGGTCACTTGCCCGACCGAGTCAAAAAAAAAATATATATATATATATTTGTAAATTTTAATTTGTATTCTAAATTTGGTGACGAATTTCGATGTGACCCTGAAGCAAATGTGGTTGAGTTTGTTTTTCTGCATAACATTAGTTTTTTTTTCGGATTTTTTTAATTGTGTTTTTTTTTTTTTTTTTTCTCGGACCTTCCTTGGTCCTTGCACGGGCTGGCCAACTGGGACTCGGGCGGTCCGGTTGATAGCCTAGCTATATTATGCGTAAAAATAAAATAAACAACTTTTTGTTGGGGGGTCTCATCAAAATTTTTAATCATATTTTAAATAAAAATTAAAGTTAAAAAAAAATATATATTTATTTATTTATTTTGGCCGGTCAGGCAAGTGGCCCTGGGCCACTATGGTAGCCAAGAAAAAAATAATAATAATAAATATTTACCTGAGCATTACTTCAAAATTCCTTACCAAATTTGAAATATAAATCACATAAAAAGTTAAAGCTAATAATAAAAATTGCGCAGCACGGTGAGCGCGTTCGCGTGAACAGCTCGCGAACATATTCGGGCGAACATAAGTTTTGTTTCATAAAAAAAATAAAATATAGTTTTTGATTTTTAACTCATAATTGATGACGAATTTAAACATGACTCTGAGGCAAAAGTTGTTTAAAAAAAAAATAAAAAAATTCTTATGTTTGCGTTCGAATGATTTTTTACGCTTGTTCACGTTCGGTGCTACATAAAATAAAAATAAATAAAATTAAAATTAAAATTAAAATTATTGAGTGAGTGTGCAGGTTTTCGACACCGCCATCTTTGACAATTTTTTATTTTTTGACTTTTTACTTAAAAACTCGTTAAAAATCGTCAAAATTGAAAAAAACTAAATAGTGAGTGAGCGAGCACATTCTGACACCGCCATCTTTGACGATCTTTTATTTTTGTTTGGCTTAGCGAAATAACTTGAAAAGTTTCAGGCATGTGCCTCACATCATAGAAAAGTCACACCACAAAATTTAAAAAAAAAACTTATTTTTGTAAGGGCCAAACGCCTTCTGTTTCGGAACTCGAATGCCCGTATGTACGGAGGTCGGCCCAGGAACCTCTATACATACGGGCTGGTGATCTTGTGTGTGTATATATATATACAGGGTAACCGGTGTTCGGGACGGGTCGAACGTCCGAACCCGAACACCCGAACGTACCTTTGGGGATGCGTTCGGCCGTTCGGGCCGAACGCGGACCAAAAAAAAAAAAAAAAAAAAAAAAAAAAAGTCATAAAAAAAAATTGAAAATAAAATATGTTATCGAAAAAAATAAATTAAACAAGATTTGCCTGAGCATTACGTCTGAATTCCTTACCAAATTTGAAATAAAAATAAAATACACAGAACAAATACTAATGATAAAAGTAAATAAAAATAAAAAGAGAATTAAATTTAGTGAGTGCGCGAGCATATTTTCGACACCGCCATCTTTGGCAATTTTTTATTTTTTTGGGGCATAGCTAAATGCCCTGAAAATTTACAAACGTGTACTTTAYATAATGCAAAACCCACTAAAAAAGTTTCAAAAAATAATAAAATTATTTAGACCCCGAACGAAAGTGAAAACAAAAAGTAAAAAATGAAAAACAACGTGGGCGAGCACGTTTTGACACCGCCGTCTTTGGCGATTTTTAATTATGATTTGAATAACTAAATGACTTGAAAATTTATAGGCATGTACATGACGTCATAGAGAACTCAAAAAAATTAAGAAAAAAAAAATATTTTTAGGCCCCGAAATAATTTTTGGCCCGAACGTGGTCAGGTTCGGACCCCGTACGGGACCATGAGCGCCCGTACGTACGGAGGTCTGCCACCGGACCTCCGTACGTATGGGCTGGTGACCCTATATATACATATATATATATATATATATATATATATATATATATATATATATATATATATATATATATATAGAGAGAGAGAGAGAGAGAGAGAGAGAGAGAGAGAGAGAGAGAGACTACCAGAGTGGTCGGGGGGCACTTGCTCTCTTGGGCCAAAAAATAAAATAAAAATAATAAATAAAAATTTAATTTTAACTTTAGTATTTTTTTTAATATGGTATAAATTTTCGATGTGACCCTGAGGCAAAAGTTGTTTTGGTTATTTTTTGCATAACATAGTTTTTGTTTTCGGATTTTTTTAATTTTTTTTTTTCTTGCTAAGATCTTCCTTTGTCCTTACATGGTCGGGCCGTCCGGGAAAATAGGGTGACCCGGATGACCCGATTCGTAACCTATATATATATATATATAATATATAATGAGGGTGGTTGATGTTCGGGACGGATCGAACACCGCCCGAACGTTCGACACCCCTTCTCGACGTGTTTGGTCGTTCAGCCGAACAAAGAAAACAAATATATGTTATGCAGAAGAATAAACTGAACAACATTTACCTTAACGTTACATCAAAATTCTTTATAAAATTTAAAATAAAAATCAAATACTAAAAATAAAAAATAAAAATAAAACGAGAATGAAATTATTGAGTGGGCAAGCACGTTTTTGACACCGCCATCTTCGAAGATTTTTTTTTCGTTGTGACGATGCAACGTCAAAGTTTTAACATTATCAAGGTAATGTGATAGTTTTTTTTTTTGTTTTTTTTTTTTTTTTTTGCAGTCCCTCAACCATACTGAACACTACAACAACAGAAAGATATAATTTTCTCATTTTGTTTTGCTCCACCTTTCTCGTCATGCGATGATTGTTGTTTATATTTATTTGTTTGCATACTTGTCATTCTCATAAGTATTTTAGACATTTGAGGAGGAAGATTGTTTACATAAATGTGTAAAAAAAAAAAAAAAAAATCATAATTATCATTGATATACAAAGAAGGTATCATAAGGTGTTGGAAAAATAATCACATCTTAGCATCAAGTTTTTTTTTTTTTCATGAAGTTGATACTAACCTAGGCTATCAATCGGGCTGCCCAAGCCACCTTGTTTGTCCAAGCTGCCCAAACGTGCAAGGGTCATAGAAGGTCCCAACAACAACAAAATCATAAAATTATGAGAAAAAAAATATAAAGAAATATAAATTGCACAAAATTTACCTCAGGATCACCTTTTCTTTTTATCAAATTTAAAATAATATTATATACAGGATTGCCAGCACGAACGTACGGAGGCCCCTAAGCTTACCCCCGAATGTTTGGGCGTTCGGATCCCCGTATGGGCCCCGAACCTGAAGGGGTTCGAACCCCGCAAAAATAAATTTTGGCACCTACATATTTTTATTTTTTTATTTTTTTTTGTGTGAATTTTTTGTGATGTAAGGTATCTCCCTCTTAAGTTTGAAGCCATTCTCTTTAGCCAAAACAAAATGAAAAATCTGCAAAGATGGTGGTGTCAAACTTGCTTGCCCACTCATCAATTTGTTTTTCCTCTCTTTTCACTTTTTGTTTTTCCTTTATTTCGGGGCATGAAAAAATTTATGATTTTTTCAAACTTTATTTGTAGCTTCTCTATTATGTAAGATACACATATACAAATTTTCTACGGGTGCATTTCAACTAGTTTTTTTGGAAAGGAAAGAGAATACCCCCAAGAAGCATGGTGTCAAATTAGGAACTGCACTATTTTTTTGTGAATCAATTATTACATGTATGTATTGTGTTCATACTAGCCTCCCTCTGGACTCGGGCTGTCAGTGGGCCGCCCCCGAGGTTTCCCACATCCCTCTCCTTTGGCTACTATTTGTCTCTCTGCAATTGCATCCTGTTCTCCTGGCCAATCCCACCTTCAGGTTGTGTAGCCAAAACTACGCACACGGTTCCGAAGGCACTCTCTTGCGTCCCAACTGCCCTTTCTCCGGAAGTCGAGAGACAACCACCCAAGAGCAGTGTCTTTGATAGCATTGATAGCATAGTGTCTTTCAGCATCTGTAGGACACTATGATTGTCACATGCCATGTGAAAGGACACTTATCTTTAGGGACGAGTGTCTCACATGGCTTGTGACCGGGCCTTGAGAAAGTTCCATGCTTTTCGGGACTCCTTGCATACTGATCTCCTCACAGGTCTTACCAGTTTCCCAAGCCCATCGCACATGAGATGCCTGGCCTCGAATTTCTGATGACCCCTGCCCATAGATATTCACAAAGAAATCGGCCCCATTACGCTCTAGAGAGGTCCGTGTATGTAGGATTCTCTCTCAACGTGCGCTAACGCTTTTGGCTTCTCTTGCATGTCCTCGTTCAATCGGCAGTGTTCTTTGGGTAATCGGGAGCAGCGGCGATTCTTCTCAGAATCGGCAAAGCCAAGGGCTCGCCTCCCTTTGTCGTGCGTGTTCTCGAAGACTGGCGCAGCCTGGGACGGTGGCGGTTGATGGGCAGCTGCGGTTCCGTAATAGAGATAGAGAGCAGGCGTGGAGAACCGAGGAATAGAGAAGGAGAACGGAGCGATAGAGGCCGGGGGGCAGTTGAGGGCGGCGATTTCAGGCAAAGAGCGATCTATCGCTGGAACGGTCAAGAGGAGGCACCAGGGCGCAGAATAGTTACCACACTTCAGGGTACGGTCACAAAGGTGTGCCGCTCTTAGTGACGGCGGCTGCCAAGGAGCGGTGGGTCTCGCGAAACCTTATTATTATCTCCTCCTCCAAAGAGTCTTTCGTTTTGTTTTTCGCCTGCTCTTGCTGTCGGCAGGTCGGTCGGTCAGGCGCTGGGTGGGTGGACTGTTTGGGGTGGCCACGAAGCGGGATCTGGTATCGAGCAGCTGGGCAGAGGGAAAGAGGAAAGAAGCGCACAGAGAAAGTTAGGAGAGCTCTACTCTAATGGACGGCCAGGTCTTGGTCCCCTCTTCGGAGGCGAGTTTGAATGGCGCTCCTGCGGCAGCAACGGATCCCGGGGTTGGGTTCAAGGATAGCAATCCAAGTGGGCCATTGCCGCCATCTGAACTGGTTTCCTCTGTATACAACTCCCTGCCTTCGGGACAGCCGCCGCCGCCTCCGCAACATCCGCAGCAGCAATCTTTGGGTACTTTGGAGTTTGGCAGCGGCAGTGGAAACAGTAACACGGGTGTGGGTGCCTCCCAAGCTTCACCGGTTCCTGTAATTCCTCCGCCTGTTGCTGGATCAGGGTTAGGGTCGACTGGTGCTGGGACGGTTGGGATCGACTTGACTGCACGCATGAGCGCAGCGTCTGAAATCCATCACCAAGGCGTCGGTAGCGGTGTCGGCGGCGTCGGCGGCGGCATTGGGGTTTTCGCGGCTGAGAGAATGGGTACGAACGCTACGGCTCTCTCTTCAATCTCTCCTTCTCAGGGACTTCCTCCTCCCCCTCCTCTTTCGGCGGGAATCACGCCACCTAAGATGGTGATTCCCCCCATGGAGGGAGACGATCATCATCGCAGCATCCATGATTCCGCGTCTGCTCCCGGCATGCAGAGCTATGGCGGTCCCGGCGCTGTCGTTGCGCCGGCAGGCGATGCACAGAACGTTATGGCAGGTTTTCAAGAACCCCACCACGATCAGAAGATGTCCAGTATAGTGGAGACGAAGCCGGAAGCTGAGGTCAAGCCACGAATGAACGATGGCGAAGCAAACGGTGAAAGTGATGAGAGGAAAGAACCCAAGGTGGGAGCGGAGACTGGCCCCCTGAAGTCAGAGTTTACTCTAGAGGCGGCTGACGAGGCCTCGCGTCAACAGCAGGATCTTCTACAGAAGCAGATGCAACCGCAGCCGCCACAGAAGCTTGGAGAGGTGGTTGGGAACGGTCATTTGCAGCAGCAGCAACAGCAGGGACAGCATCAGCATCAGCAGCATCAGCAGCATCAGCAGCATCAGCATCAGCAGCATCAACAGCAGCAGCAGCAGCAGCAGCAGCAACCACAGACACAACAGCCGCCTCAGGAGGAAAAGCCTGAGGTCATCTTGCCGCCTGAATGGGAGACAGTGCAAATCCCCGCGCATTGGTACGCGAAACCGTGCGTGCGAATATCAGGAATGGGAGGCGACGTGTACGACGAGGTAGGGTTATCTTATCCAGCTCTGCTCCGAGCGTGCGGTTTATGTTTGGTTGATTGATTGTCCCCGAATGGCGACGTGCACAATGGCCATGTGATGGTGCTCATGCGCTTTTGTTTATTAACCGGGGTATTGTTGAAGCTGGCAGCGTATTCATCACCTTTTCTCAAAACCGATGACCAGGACCGGACGTGGATGAGGTAAAAAGGGAAGAGGTCTATGCGATCGACCAGGGTTCTCAAAAGACGCGTTGTCCGCGGGTTGCGAACGCCCACTTTTTTGGTTACTATCACAATATCTGTATAGAAGTAGATGTGATTAATACCGTGCTTACGAGTTAATAAGACTTTTCCCCGCGTTCGTGAGCAAGCGCCGAGGTCTGCTTACGCGAAGATCATTGCTTCGTCGACGATATGAGGAAAGAAAGAGAAAGGAACAAGGCCCAGAGCAGCAATTACCCGGTGGTTGTCTTGCTGTCATGGCGCTATTGGTTTCTTTCGCCGTATTGGCTCTTACTCTACTTAGAGAGGAAACATCGAAGATTACGTTTAGCTATCTTTCGTCATGTCTTGGTCTGGCAAGTCGAGCAAGGGCACCGAGAAACGATAATAAGGGTACATATTGTATTTCTTTGCCTCTGCCCAAACCTTGCCGTCTTTGATTGCGGTCTTTCCGATCGATCGGAGTATTAGTTAGTAGTAAACTGGATTAACCCTTGGATGATATTGGCTGTGACGGGCTAAAGGTTGTCCTTATATGACTAACCCTTTCATCTTCCCACTCCCCTCGTCCTCATCCCCTCTGGCTTTCTGGCTGCTGGGCTGTCTTACACCTGCGTGTATTCCGTCGTCAATACCTCAGTTGAGATTTCTATATATACAGTCATTATATGACAAAGGGCAGTATCAGCTGCACTAGAGAAATCGTAAGGCCGTTTAGAGACGTATTTCCTTGCCGCTGGTGCGTAGGGTAGGGTAGAGTAGAGAGATGTGCGTTGCTACTTGTTCAGAGAGCTGTTGCTATGTTCGCCGTGCGGGCTTGCCTTGGGGATTTGAGGGGTGGTACGCCGTCTGTGCCTGACCGAGTTGGTAATAAGGGCTTGCTTTTGAAATCGATTGTCATCTTTGATTGAGTTACTACTCTCGCACCGAGAGGAGACGGGCGACCACCGGTTTCTTATCAAATCGCCTCTTCGGTCCAGGATGTTAGCTCTCGAGTGAGGATTTTTTGCGTGAACGGTCTGGTGTTCTTATCAAACCGCCTCTTCGGTCTAATCGTGATCGATGTGCGGCCATTCATTTCTCGTTGCAGGTAAAGTGTGTCACGCGATCTCGTTTGGTTAATTAATGAAGTAAAATTAGTGTTCTTGGCGTGTTGTATATCCTCCCCCCGCCCTCGGCAGGTGGGCTTCATTTGCAACCCGCACGAACGAGTATACTCATTTTGTACTCCTAATGGAATTTCTAGATTGGTGTGGCCATCTGTATATTTTGTCAAAGCGAATTGCCCCGTGAAGCGTGAGCAGAAAGGGAGAAAAGGACGAAAAAACCGCCTGGTTGTGACAGATTGCTTCGTCGGTCGGAGGGAGTCTTCTCATACTGGTGATTATCGTTTGATGAGCGGTATCCGAATGTCTTTGGCTTGCAAGGAGTCGGTGGATATGCGCCTCGCCTTCATACTTGTGTGGCAATGAACAGGTGGAGCTTTCCTTACCTCTTCTGCTCCCCCTTTTTTCTTTTCTCGTCTTTTCTTCTTTTTTTCGCTTCTGCGCTCTGATTCACTGTGTGACAATATATATATCCTACGGGGGTGGCGTTCTGGACTCGTGACGTTGGGAGCTCCCGCCGAGTTTGTCGTAACTACAGTCTTCATCCGAATACAACGTACGGTCATTATAGCTGCATTTGGGGCAACTTCGCGTCTCGATACAGGGATAATGACTGTACATTGTATTCGGGTGAAGACTGAAGTCTTTGGTGGTCCGTAGACTGACCAGGTCGTTCTCTGAGTTCGTTGAGGGAGGGGATCCTTGCTTGCTTGCCTTGTGTAAACAGGTAGAATATACTGGACAGGTCATTCTCTCCATGTGGGAGGAAGTTATATCTTGTGTGGACGTGTTGTTGGTTGTGTTTGCCGTTTGGCGGAACCCGGACTGATGACAGTGACGTGGTTGACCGACAGGATTTAAGACCTATGCTGGAGTCGTGTTATCGCGTTTCGAGCTTCGTGTACGAGAGCGAGAGGAGGGAGGCAGCACTGGTAAGAATTGACCCCGGGAGCCCCTATGGAGGGGGTGGGGTGACGGCGGAGGAGATCGCGGAGAAGCTGCGGGACATCTTCGATAATGTAAAGATCAAGGATAAGTTGTATGTGGAGCCCTTCCGTCCAGATTCGTTCCTTTTCATCGGAAACTTAAGGATGGATATCGACGACGCGGAGTTGTACAACATGTTTGCGCCTCACGGTTCCGTCGAGCGGGCCTTTGTAAGTAATCTTGCTCTGCAATCCTCATGTTAACGCTAGTTATTATTTTGTTAAGAATTGTATATGTCGCCATGTCCACTCTTGTTGGCTGTGTAGGGTCCCCGTTTTCAGGTCGTGATCACGATGACAATGCTATCGGTGCTTTGACAATGCATTCCTGTTGTTCGTGCTTCCCTCGTGACTCTCTTGTATAGCGTAGTGCTATCGGTGCTTTGACAATGCATTCCAGTTGTTTGTGCTTCCCTCGTGATTCTCTTGTATAGTGTTTCTTTCGTAGGGTACGATTGTTTGTTTTCTGTTGCTACCTTCTTCCCCCGAGTACAACGTACGGTCATTATTGCTGTATCTAGACTGAATGGTGGCTCACATACAGGTATAATGACGGTACGTTGTATTCGGGGGAAGAAGGTAGTGTGTTTCTTAAACGGTCGTAGAATACCTGTAGTATTTCTTTGTATTTCTTTGTTCCAATTAGATCGTGCTTGGTGGGAGAAGAGAGCAGTGGGTTCGCATGTATGTGTGTAGATGTGTGGTGGGAAGGGCTTTCTCTGTGTGTCAAGCAAGCCCAAATGAGAGAGGCAAATGAAGTGCAAGACGGATGGCACAGCTCCCGGCAGGTCAGGTATTACCAGAGGAGACGGAGTGGTCATGGAAAAGCTCAACGATGGTACCGCATTAGGGCTGGTAAGGAAGCGCGGGGACGTGGGGTTGCTGAATTGATGTCGCGGCCGTGGAGGTGATAGTTGAGGAATTGCATGGGCAAAAGGAGAATGATATGATGGAATCGCATGAGGAAAAGAAGAATGATATGAGGGTGAAGGCTTTCTTTAGCTGCGGACGGATTAGAAAGGACGAATCCGCAGAAAAGATGGGTACAGGGGTGGAACACATGGCACGGACTGGGAGTACGAAGAACGATCATGGGTGCAGAGGAGGGGCTTGGAAGCGGCGTGCAGCGCGTGTAAGGACGGGGTGGTAAGCGGAGGATGCCCTGGAAAGACGGCGGGATGAGGGTGGGCGAAAAGCACGGCAAGGATTGGGTGTCGGTAGTACCGAGGAACGACGATGGGGGAGAGGTTTGAAGCGGTGTTCAGTGCGAGGTAAATGTCGGTCGAATCGCGGAAGGAGAGGCCCAGCTAGGGAGGACGGGTAAGCGGCGACCTTGCGTGGGGTGCGGGAAAGAAGGATGTGCAAGGACGAGTTTTGTTGTGGTAAAGGGGGATGGGGAGCCGCGGCACAAGGAGGACAAGACGTTGGCGTTAGTGTTCAGGCAAGGAGGGTGCTCGCCGGATAGGAGCACGACGCGGTGTGCCACTTTCTTACACGCGACCATGGTACCTGACGAGGAGCGCGACGCGGGCTGTGAGAGGGGCTTTCGGGGAGAGGTTTTGATGGTAATGGACGTTCTCACGCTTGATACTTGGTCGAGTTCAGGTAGGGTGTATGCGAAAGTCCCATGCACAAGTTTGTATACCGGGGGAAGTAGTACGGTGAAAGATTGTACAGTTTGGGAACGTGATATCTTCATTGTAGTAGACGGTGCAATGTCAGTTCTGGAACTCAGGTGATATGGCGTATGTGGCTGCAGGTGTTGGTGTCGGGGAAGTTGAGTGGGAGTTCTGTGCCTGCGGTTGTTTAATGCCGTTGGATATATTCCTTAAGCCCATTGTAACAGTGGTAGTTCGGCGTCGTTTGCATGTTCCAGTTTTGTTTTCTGCGGTTAATGGCTCTAGGAACTGTTGGGCCTCACTTGAATACGAGGAAGTGGGAGCACCGCTCAGTTTTTGTATCGGGGTTTTATTGGTTTGTGATTCCCCTGGCATTCATCAGGTCGTGCATAACTCAGAGGGAAGGCGGAAAGGATATGGTTTCGTTGAATACAGCCTAAAGCCACAGGTGAGAAGTTGATCGCTCAGGAGCTCTCAAGGAAGCAGCCACAGTTTTTGTCACTCTGGTTTCCTGTTTTTCCCGAGGCCTCTGGTTCTTCTTGTCTTCTGGCCTGAAAATCAGTATCATCATGTTTTAGGCAGTTCCATATGTTTTGGAAGTTCTCTCATCTTGCATTCTTTGAAGTTCTTTTGATTGATGATGGGGCTGTTCCTCGCGGCAAAGGTCGACTTTGCTTTGCCTCCTTTGGTAAGCCAGGTAGGTAGGGAGGAAAGAACGCGGGAGCTCTTTAACCTACGTCGTCCTTGTCGTGAAAAAGTAATGGCAATGTAACGATTCCCGCTCCCTTTGGAGCGAAACAACTGCGTCTCCTTCTTGCAATAACGTCAATTCGATGTCCTTTATTGCTTACTTGGTCTTTCGTCAGATGCATGTGACGGCAAATGGGGCAAGTATGTGAGCGCATGTTAGAGGAAATAACCTGAAAAAGCGATTTGTATTGTTTGCGCGAAATGCGTAAAACTGATTAGCAGGACGTTGTCTACATAAATGCGATTTTTTGTGGCGTGAAGGCCCTGCCATGGAATTACCTTAGCTGATTGATTATCACTCAGTGAATAACGTGATTGTAGGAATACTTTCTCATTGAATGCTGGCGTTGGATTTACAAACCGGTAAAACTATTTGATTATTGCATGTATGTATTTTTGAAATGTTGTGGGATGTGTGGGGTGTGTAGGTCAGGTCTAGATAGAGAGGTCTGGGTCGCACACTGTATAGTGTTCGACTTGCGATAACAATAGGATATAATAGGTCACGAATTATACCCCCTGGAGAAAGACTGTCCCTGGGGTGGGCGGCACAAACCATCTGATCCCCTCACTGGTTGGGTACAACGACAGGCACCTCCTCCTAAGGCCGAGCATCCATCCTCTACTACATGTTTCTTTTAAAAAAAACAAGAAAAAAGAAAAGAAAAAAGAAAATGCTGATAACAATAGGATAAAATAGGTCACGAATGATACCCCTTGGAGAAAGACTGTCCCTGGGGTTGGCGGCACAAGCCATTTGATCCCCCCCTCACTGGTTGGGTACAACGACAGGCACCTCCTCAGGCCGAGCATCCACCCTCTACTACATGTTTCTTTTTTAAGAAAACAAGAAAGAAGAAAAAAAAGAAAATGCTGACATTGGATTTACAAAATGGTAAAACTATTTGATTATTTCATGTATTTATTTTTGAAAGGTTGTTGGATGTGCGGGGTGAAAATGGCTGTGTGAAATCAATTGATTGCCAGATTATGCTACGGTTGATTGTTGCGTGTATTTTAACTTCGGATGGGATGTTGACGTGGGAAAAGTTAAATTTTCTGCTGCAGGCCAGTCAAGCGAAGATCGCAATGGGGAATATCAACATGGACGGCCGTGTTCTGCGAGTTGAGTGGTCGGATTGTCGCTCGGTGGCTGAGATGTTCTCTGCAGTGCTCTTCGTCGACAGGCTACCGAGGGAATTCAACGATGTAAGTCGTTTTCCTCTACGTCGATGCAACCGATGCGGAAATCCATTCCCCCCCCCCCTCCCCGGCCCTTGGTTGCCCTGTTCCAGTTTATTTCTCGTGTTTCCCAGCAATGGCTCGTTGTGGTCTGGTGTTCCTGAAGTACTGTCGACTGGGAATATGGATCCGTTATTGATGCTCTCAAGATATTTGTGCTTTTACTCGTTTTTTTTTTCATGCTAATATATTCTATACTATTGTAGCACAAGTAGTTGATTGGGGGGATATACTGAAAGTAGTCTTTTGTTTCTTTTTCGTTCATATCCCTCTTCTCTTTTCGTTCCCCAGTTTTAATCAATCCTCGAACAGCTTCGGAAACGGGTTTCTTCCCTCCTACCGTCTTTACCCGAATAGGACGCCCGGTTATCATAGCTGCATCTGGACTGGGAGTTTGCCCAAATACGGCTATAATTATCGGGGCGTTCTATTCGGGTGAAGACGGTGGTTTTCGAAAATGGGGTTCTTCCCGCCTAGGACAGTTCTCCAGTACTCTTTCCATCTTTTCTTTGGCGTTTTGTATATGGGTTTAATGTCTTCCTTCGCTGGATATTGTTTGCCAGCGCGAAATGTTCACGGCGTCTGCCACTCACGTTGTATCTTATGAACCGAAAAGAAAAGAGGGCACTGGACGAAAAAACCCTACTCGAGTTGAGGATAAGCTGCTGCCCAACGGAAACACTGGTAGCACATGGCAGTGCTCTATCTCTATAGTTAATGAAGTAAGATTCTCCAGATGGGAAGACACGGACACGGAGAGAGATGATTAATGGAAATGGCTTTACCTATCCTGAAGATAAGACTTCGTATGCGTAAGAGATTGTAGGGAAATGGTCTGGAAAGGGGGTTCAGGCTGGTAGGCGTTTGCATGTGCTCGTCTGTTTGTAGTCGTTCCGGATGCCGTCGGTATCCACCAGAAAATGACCAAGGAATGACGGACGAGCAACTCTGGGTTGTATGCTATGAATTTGTTTTGTGATTATTTTATTATTATCATTATTTTTAACGAATGCTATGAATGTGGGTGGGTTAGACAGGTAGGTGTCTGCCTTTGTTCTCAGTCTGATTAGGGCGCAGAATGTGGCAGTCGCTTCTGCGAATGGAGTATCTCAACCGTAGAGCCAAAAAGCTGGTCTGATTTCTCGTTGCACGGACATCTCCCGTGAAAATTGGATCGATATAGAGAAGAAAATTAGCAGGTCTCGTTCGTCGGAAGATGCTCGTGTCTTTATGTTTGCAGAATCTTTAAGGTTGGGTACGCCGATTGATGAGCGATGGTCAGGGAGTTCGACACGGGGTACAGCCTTTCTTTAGACAATGAGATTGCATTTCTTTTCTTTTTTTCTTTTTTTCTTTTCTTGTAGACCCTGCTATTTCCTTCCCATCACGTATTGTTATCCTCATTCGGAGTTTTGTCACATTTCCAAATTTTGTCAACATTGCGGATTTTTGTCGGGGAGTAAGCTTTTTTGGGATTGTGTTCCTTTATTCTTGAACATAAATGCCTATCATGAATGCATGCCAGGTTCTATCCTGTCGAAATGCAGTCGCGATAAGTGTTGGTAATTTCCGGGGCGATCTGTAACCTCGTCGTTTGCTAACACGCTGACGTGTTAATTGCTAGCGATGGTCGAATGCGAGCAAGGCTTGTTATCTCCAACAACTAGTGTGCGGCGGCGGTCGTGCTAAAGTAGGACTTTTGGGGAGGTAAATATCTGAGTCAGTGCCTCTGTGGAACATTTCGAACCTCGATCGTTGAGATCCCTTCCCTGTCAGGCATGACTGCAGTAACTGGCCGTCATTGTGGCTATATGACGGAATGGAGTCGAGACTGCCGTTGTGGAAAGCACACGTCTGTCTGTATCTGGCTAACAACTTAGTTTTTTCTGCTGTGTGGAAACGTTTCATAGCAGCGAATGGCCGTTTCAATGCTCGTCGTCTGGAAATCTGACATGGGGGTGCTCTTGTTTTGCATCGGCTTGTCGTTGTGCAGGTGGGGCCGGCCCTTCAAAAGCTGTTCGAGAACTACGGCAAAGTACTGATGTGCAACATGGTCCTGGGAGAGCATAATGTTCCGCGTGGATTTGCCTTCATCGAGTTTTCTCATTCGACGATGGCCGACAGAGGTAGGTTGAGAGGGAGTTACCGTCTTTTCCCGAACATAACGCACCCTGATAGTGAATGTATACAAACCATATTTCCGGCCAGGTACGGCCAAAATGAGTTCCATCCGAATTGTGATGGTCTCATCTTTGTCTTTCTGTGTTTTTTTCGTTGATCGCTTGGGTGTGCAGCTCGGATTGCATTGGACGGTCACGATTTCATGGGCTCCAAGATTCGAGTTAGCTTCGGCAATCCCTCCAAGAAAGGACAGGTATGTGGCTGCCTGATATGGTGCATTCATTGCTGGGGGTTGTTTTTATGTTCGTGGAAGTCGCCCAGTGTTTTTGTGCGGGCACTAAGTTCCTGAACGACATTTCTTGCGCCGGGCGTCGGTATGAGATGAACAGCAAGGTCGCGTTTGTTGACGAACTTCGGCATAAACGCTAGCTCTATTCGGCTGGGGCGAACACAGGTTGGGGCTACCGTGTTCACTCGAATAGAACGCCAGGGAATTATCGCCGTATTCGGGCTGAAAGTTGTGCCAAATACAGCACTAATCACCGTGCGTTCTATTCGGGTGAAGACGGTAAAGAATTGAATTGCGACATTGTGCTTTCCCTGGGTAACCGGCAGGAGTGGTCCTTGAGTTAGCTGAACGATCCGAAGAAAATGCAGAGGCGTACTTGGGACTTCCCTCGGTCTGGCTTTTACGGTCTGAACGATCGGCAAGGGTCCTTGAGTTTGCTGAACGATCTGGAGGAAATGGAGAGGCACAAGTATGCGGGAACATCCGTCTGGGTGTTTTTTTTTACGTGTTGTTTGGTAGGCGATGATTTCTCACCGTCTGAAAAGCTTGATCCTGTTCTGGGTTTGTGTAGTTTCCATTGTTGTTTTCGTTCACCTTTTTGCGAATGCGTCTCCGGTCTATCTATCTTGCGTGTGTTTGCAAGCACTATGCGGTATTCATGCCCTTTTCTTGTACTTTTCCCGTTTTCATCATTCGCTGTTCCTCTCTTGGTTGTTCTTCACGCAGCGCGGGTTACCCACGACGTATCTGCAAGGGGAGGCCTGCGATTTTAAGCCATCACATGTAAGCGAATCTTGTCCATGTATGAGAAACATTAAAAAGATAACATAGACATTGTGGGTGATCGAGGATCGGCAATTTAAGGTCTGGTTTGATAACGGGGTGATGTCATTTACCCACGACGTATGTGCAAGGGAAGGCCTGCGTTTTTAAGCCATCACATGTAAGCCAATCTTGTCCATGTATGAGAAACATGAAAAAGATAACCTGGACATTTCGGCCGATCGAAGGATTGAGGATCGGCAATTTAAGTTCTCTGGGTTATAACGATGTGATGTCATTTCAGTTCGCGTTTGCGCTGGTGTCAGGTGCCCTGTAGGGAAGGAGGAACAGTGCAATCGCCGCCTTATCCGTTCTAAGTAGTGTGGCAGACCGTCATCTGAGACTGCATGTGTGGTTGCTCGAGTATTACGGCGGACTATCATCTGACTCTCTGCATGTGCTTGCTTCATTTCTGTCGTCGCACAGTTTTATAAGCAGCGCATGGGAACATCAGGATCTCATTACGGACGTAATCGTCAAGGAGCCGGTTCTGGTGGGGAGGGCGGTGGCCGCGGTGGCTCTGGCGGCGGGCGAGGCTCATACATGGGCGGTAAGAAATGCTGCCAGCTTGGCAAGATTTCTCTGACAATGGAGAAAATTCCCTACACATTCTATTGTAACAGAAAAGATTAAATAGCATCTTTGTCCAAGTGTTCGTATGCTGATTGTTTCACAAACATGTTCTCCCAGTAAGAGTCTTCTTCAGTCGTGATCTTGTTCTCAGAGTCAGTCTATTTAAGTGGAAAAACCCGTTGTGGGTCTTTTCTTTTTTTCCGAGTTCTGTTGCAGCTCAGCGAACTTTTTGAGAACTCAAAGAAGAGGCTCTGTTGCACGTGTTTCTCTCATCCGCTGGTTCTCAGGAAAACGTGCTAAGCTTGACTCCGTTGCTATGATCGTTCTGTTGAAGCGTGTATTCCCCTATCATACGCATCCGTTGTCATCTGTGATGCGCATTAATTGTCTGGCCCTCACCTGTGACCCGCATTCCAATTGGTTGGCATGTTTTATGGCCTCTGTTAATCACGTCCTCCTAAGCGGGGCTGCAGTGTGGAGAGCTCGTCTTTGGGTCTTTGATGAATGGAATTGTCCCTTCCCTCCCTTGTCCCTTCGGCCGACATTGTCGTGCGTGGTTGTACTGACTTGCAGATGTCAATTATCTTGTATTGAATGGGAGAAAGGAACTCTCGGCTGTTGGTGGGTAAGGCGGATGGTTCAAAAATCGTCTCCATCCGGTGTGAACTGCTCAATTTGGAAGGGCATTGAATGTGCAAGGGTGCGTTCGGTCTAGCATGAGTGCTGACTACATGATATGATTGCTTGCTGCCGGAGCACAATTCCTTAGTGATTTCGTGCGCTTATCTGGAGCGGGAACAATGGTTGGTTGGTCCATTTGGAATTTTGTGCAGGTGGTGGGGGTGGTGGCGGGTCAGGAGGCGGATCTATGAGAGGACCAAGCATGCAGCAGATGCTTGGGCCAAGGATGATGGGCCCTCGGCCGGCAATGGGAATCGGAATGGTGAGTTATTCTCCCCTGTTGCAGTGTCCATTTCGTTATAATCAGTCCATTAACAGGGAGTGATGGTGATGTTTGCCGGAAGACCTCTCCTACCCGTCTTTCGCATTATAAAAGTAGGGTCTGTATCGATCTTGAGGTCTTGTCCTGTGTTATCAAGGAGAAATATGTAGAGCTCATTAATTGTTGAGTGGAAGGTGTCTTTCCGAACGGGGAGTGCAAATGAGAACTCGTCTGCATCTATCTTGCCAACTTGTCTGTGGCTAATATGCATTTCTGGCTTGTGCTGCTGTGATTTGCAGAACATGGGAAGAGGTGGACCTGTTGCCATGGGAGCGCCGGGAATGATGGGGCGAGGTATGGGGGGGATGATGATGGGCCAGCAGATGATGATGGCTCGAGGAACCACGGGGCCTGGCATGATAGGTCCAGGGCCTGGTGCACGGCCAATGAATCCTGGAATGATGGGTGCACGTGGGCCCGCAGGTGCTGTCATGATGGGACATACGGGACCCATACAAGCAGGAGCGGTGACACCGGCGGCGCGCACGGGGTTCCCGCAACAGCAAGGTGGGGTTCTTGGCCAGTACCAAGATACGGTGGCATCCCCCCTCGCAGGTCGTCGGCGTGTAACCTTTCCTGAATCTCTGCACCTTACCTTCCTCTCCACCTTCGATGCATATGTGGCCTTTGCAGGATCGCCGTTTCTCTTGAATTGGACGGTTTTTCTGAGTTTTTTCAAGTCTCACGTTCTCAGCGGTTGCTAATTGCAATCTTGTCTTTTTCTCGCTCGAGTGTTGATGTTGCATGATTGCTTGGTGGCGGCTGTTTTTTGTCACCATTCATCTGAAAATGCCTGTTTCTCTTATGGATACCTTGACAACGAGTGTGTGGAATGGGGGTCACAGTTAGTTGTCTTGCAAAAGACATTTGTTGTGCTTTTGAAGAGCGGGTTTCTTTGATGAAGACTTGACTGGCATCATTTTCTTTGGGCTGTGAAGTTCCTCTGGATGTGGGATGCCTAATAATTGATTAAATTTTGGCAAGCTTGATTAGCACTTGATAGACGTTTCAGTACTTGCATGTGGTGATGAAGGACGTCCCGAAGCTGTGTTGATAGAGCTCGGGTAGGTCCTGAAGGTATCTTTTTTTTATTGATTGTATTTCTAGATTGTCTTAACATGCCCGTCCTTGCTCGAATGGCGAAACTAAAAGAATGATGTTGGCATAGATGACTAGAAGAAACATACATATTAGGAATCATAAGGAAAATGGTAGAGAACGAAAATGGTAGAGAAAACGTAGATGTGTCCATTTACTATTTTGCTCGTTTCATGTGTTCTTGTTTGTATTGCAGGAGCTGCAGGTGCTGTTCAGGTGGGTAGCACAGATCCCCAGTCAGGGGCAGCACTGACGGTACCTGGGGTGAGTTCTCTTATGGTGGTTGGTTACAGGTTGTAGTCAGTCTCTACCTGCTCACTTGCTCAAAGCTGTGTGTATCTCTTGACTGCTCCTGTTTTTCGTTTGCCAGCTGTTTCCCGATGTGCTGCATAAGTGGAAAAGGTGGATTGTTATGATATTCTTTGTGAGCCGTGTCTCTCAGTTGGAAACGTGTCCTCTCTATTCAAATTGTGTGGTGAGTTCTCTTATGGTGGTTGGTTACAGGTTGTAGTCAGTCTCTACCTGCTCACTTGCTCAAAGCTGTGTGCATCTTTTGACTGCTCCTCTTTTTTGTTTGCCAGCTGTTTCCCGATGTGCTGCATAATTGGAAAAGGTGGATTGTTATGATATTCTTTGTGAGCCGTGTCTCTCAGTCGGAAACGTGTCCTCTCTAATCAAGTTGTGTTAAAGTGCAGTTCACTCTTCTCTGTCTGTTAGGGGCTTGGGATCAGGTAATCAGGGAGTAGACCGTTGTCATGGCGCCTTCGAGATGGTGTTGAGGAAACCGCCTTGATAAACTTGGGTGTTTTGTGGCTAACGCTGTTGCCTAATATTATTGTCAGCGTGAATGTACATCTATGTTTAGAAGTGTATGTACGTTTTCGGTGAGTGTCAGGATTTCTGGTGTCACCCTGTGCAGTACCGAAATGGGCAATGATGTTGTGACAGAGTTGTTTAGAATGAATGTCACTGTCGTCACTGTACTGGAGTTCGTGAATACAGTTTAATTTTATTGGGCAGGTAGGGTGTATAACTGCTTCCTATGAGAGTGAAGTTGAAATTCTCTGTCTACGACTGATCAGTAACGATGTCTTTGCTTGAAGCAGCAAACTGTACAAGCTCAGGGTCAAGCCACAGTGCAAAATCAGGCGGCACAGCAGCAGCTTCCACAAGGAAATCAGGGACAGCAGATGGCAGGAGGGCAAACGACCATGCAAGCAGGGCAAGTGAGTACATCCATGCTCATCAAAAGGCTTCTGTTTTATGGTCCTGCTATCAGATGGAATGGTTTCAACTCGCCGTGTCGAAGGGTATTTGAGGCAGGGTCGTGACAGAGCTACGGCCGTCGAGGATATGCGTTGGGCTCACAGTGAGTCTCATGTCGATTTGTGACAGGTGTATAGGATGTATCAGTTGGAATCGTTTCAACTTGCCGTGTCGAAGGGTGTTTGAGGCAGGGTCGTGGCAGAGCTACGGCCGTTGAGGATATGCATCGGGCTCACAGTGAGCCTCATGTCGATTGTGACAGGTCTATGGGATGTTCTTGTGGAAATGATGGTGGTTGAGTTGTATGTGGATGGATTTGTGGTGTTGCTGAGCCTCAGAAATGACTTGCTGTTCAACGTAGTGATCTGAAATGAAGCGTATCTTGTTGTGTTGCTCCTTGGTTCCTGCTTCTTTTTCCGTGCAAAGTTGTATGTGTCTCCTTGAGGATTTTGCATGCGAGATTGTTGTGTCTGCCACCAACAATGTAGTGAAACGTTTCCTTTCCATTGTTTCTTATTTGGAATTTTCAGAACGTGCAGCAGCAATTTATCGCTGGACAGCGAGGACCGTATGGACAGCAGGCTTACATGCAAGCTGGGCCTGTACGCCCGCAGGCACCTACAGGCCAGCAGACTCAGCAGCAGCCTATGCAGAATTTCTATTCTCAGCAGCAGCAATATGCACTGCAGGGCTACCAACAACAAACAGCAGTCCAACAAGCCGGTGCTCAGGCTCAGTATCAACCCGGTACTCAGGCATCCTACGCTGCGGGGGCACAGAATGCCTATCAGGTAATCCGACCTCGATATCCAAGCTCCAATTTCAAATGTTCAAAGTTCACGTAGCCTTTGAACACATATGGGGATGAAAAGATTGTTGACGTGCAATACTGTTTTGACAAAAAGATTTACGTGAAGACTCTGCGTGGCTGTGGTAAGAACGAAAAGGTGTATTGCGTCCGCTTTGCAGATGATTTTCTAGTAGCAGTTTCTGGTCCAAGTTGAGAAGCAGTGAAACTGAGATCTGAATTGGAATCGTTCCTTCGTGAGCTGGTGCTGTGGTGCCTCTCGGCAGGAATTGTGTTGCAGTGCCAGTGACTTTTCCCGAGTGTATTGTATTAGGGCAGGGTATGGGTGAGAGGTTGTTCGATGTTCTCAAAATTTTCAGCCTTTTTAAATTTCAACTTGATAGGGCTCCCATCTTAATAGTGTGTCAGATCAACGAGCTAGTTGGCCGATCGCGTTTTGCCAGCGGTTTTGCGACTCAGAATTAGACTCAGTAGTCTCCATATGGTCTTTGTTTGTTTGTTTGTTGTCATTCGCTTTTTTTTGGCTTGTGCATTCTTGCTTGATGATGTGTTGTGCTCTTTTTTTTGTTGCAACAGCAGTATGGGCAGCAGCAGCAAGGTTACTATCAGCAACAGCAAATTCCCCAGCAACAGCAAGTCCCTCATCAGCAGCAACAGGGACAAGTGGCAGCCACACCAGCGACTCCAGTATCGACAGCAGCCTCGTCTCAAGCAGCGCAGGTAAAACAAAACCAGATGTGAAGTTCAATTAGCTGCTGTCTGTTGTATGGTTCTCTTAGTGGAGGTGTAGGGAAAACAAGGTGTTGATTATGCGAGGAGGTGACGGTTTTCACCTCTTACTCTATTTTCCCCAATTGGGTACACCTTATGATCTGTAGATCGCCCATATGGCGTACTGGGAGCCCAGGTACATCCAGGAACGTGTCTCTGGGATCGGTTTTGAATGGCTACTGTGGAGGGTCATTTGCCACAACCCAAGTACACTGATTACGTTCTCTAAGATGGAGGTGGTTGTGTGGACGTGTATTTGTTGCTTTGCTGTGTTTATTCCTGTAGTGAACGCATGGAAATACCGTTCTGCTCTCTTTCATCTCCCGATTTCGAGAATCCACACTTTTGCATTCGATAACATGTCATGTGTTTTCACCGTTCGCAACTTGTGAACTTTCAAACAAGTTCGTTTTTGCCGAAAGTTTAGTGCTAGACTGACGTCAATGCATTTGCTCACCTTGCGTGATTCATCCTCACTGTTCTACGTGTACTAGGCGTACTGGGGACAGATACGTTGTTTTCCTCCAACGCCTGTTATGTGCATGCTTTCCTTTCCCGCTGCCTACCATATGCAGCGGTGACTGATTATCTTCAGCATTGACCTCTTGCTGACTGTCTTCATCTCTGGGAACTATGGAATGTTAAACTCGGTAGGATTGTGTGCTGGCATACCAATTTCAGGAGTTTCTCTCACAGTCCAGTGCCTTAGTGGGTATGAAAGGAACTCCTTGCCGTTTGGGCGTGTAAGTGTGATAAGAGGTGCGCGTTATTGTATTTTTTCCCTCCCCCTGGCTGTGGGAATTTTCAATTGCGACAGCGAAGGCTTGGGTTTGTCCTGAGGTAATGGGTGCATTACAAATGTTTGGTGCTGGTGTATGCCTACAGGGCTTGGCATGGCATGCCTTTGCTATTTGGAAGATGGAGAGTGGCAGCTTTCCAATCGTTATGCAGTCCTTTGTTTTGCCTGGCCTTGACACGCTGTGCTTTCGGTTCTGGATGTTGAGGATCAAATGAAAATTCCATACGAACCTATCGTGAGGTATCTTTTCCTTAGGTTGTTGTTTTGTTCCTCCGATCTGCAGTTCACTGTCTAGATGATCGGTTTAATTTTTTAGGATGGTGGTGTATCAGTAATAATAGTAGAATGTAATTTGAGTGGTCATGAGAGGATGGTTTGGTGCTAGGTGATGTATGTGACTTACGGCGTCCATCCAGTTTTGCAGTTTTTCCTCCGTCTACAGAGACTGGTCCGTGTGCAATGGCCATTCCCAGAAAGGAAATGGTTTTGTTCAGAGGTAAATGTATTTGGGCGCGGCCTTGGTATTGATTCGCATCTTATGCTTGCAGGCGGGTTATGGCGCACAAGTGACTACAGTGGCGACACCACAACAGCAGCAGCAGTATGCCCAGGCCCAACAGTATGGGCAGCAGCAGTACCCTCAGCAGGCAGCACAACAATATGCTGTTGCAGGACAGCCACAGCAGCAGCAACAGCCGGCTATGCAAGCTGCTGGGCAAACTGCACAGGCGACTCAGCAAGTACATCACCAGGCGACAGCTCAACAGCAGCAATATGCACAGTATGGACAGCAGCAGGCGCAACAGCAGCAGCAGTATGCTCAGTATGGACAGCAGCAACAGCAAGCTTACGGGCAGCAAGTGCAGGCACAGGCAGCTATAGTGCAGCCGCAGGCGTCTTCTATGCAGCAAACCGGAGTAGCAGCTCAGCCGCAGGTCCAACAAGCTCAACTTCAGCAACAAACCCAGCAACAGCAGACAGCGCAGCAACAACAGTATAGTCAGCAGTGGACTGATTGGTACAACCAGCAGGCACAAGCACAGCAGGCGCAACAGCAGCAAGCAGCACAACAGCCTCAGCAGGCCGTTCAACAGCAGGTTCAAGGTCAGGCACAGGCTCAGCAAGCGCAGCAGCCTCAGCAACAGCAGGCACAACAACAGCAAGCAGGAGTTGCTCAGCAGGTCCAGCCTGCAGCTACGCAAGCTGTGGCTGCTGCGACTGCAGACACCGTACAACAGCAGTATGCTGCTTATTACCAACAACAGGTCAGTCTGCCCATTCATTTGACTTGTTGAAGCTGGCTGTATATGTGCTGAAAAAGAGTTGTAGTCTAGCTTGGCATGTGGAATTGGATTGATCATTTCCTTTCCTGGTTTTGCTCATTTAAGTGATGTCCCCCAAACTGGTAAGCTCCTGTCCTCTCACTAATCTCGTGGCAGCGATTGGTTGGCAAGTACCTAGAAAAGAAAATGAAGAAAAAAACAGACAACCTTCCGGACCTTGGTTCTTGTTCCTGGCTCTTTTTTTTCCCTCTTGTGGTGTCGTACGTACGCACCTTGTTACGTTTTGATCTCTTATGGTTGTCAAATGCATCTCAATTTTTAACCACACGGTAGTGCCTGTGGCTTCAGGATTTTGGTTCTTGAATTCCCGCCACTCCTGTGGCCAATGCTTCCGGACCTGAGTGTGCACTGACTTGTTTTGTATTGTGTTTCAAATCTACTGGCTCAGCAGGCAGCAATGACGACAGCGACTCCGAAGGCTACTGCAGCCACTCCTGTGGCTACTGCAGCAGTGGCGCAGACTCCTGAACAGCAATGGGCTGCTTATTATGCGGCACAGGCTGCAGCTGCAGCAGCAACCCAGCAACCGGCTCAGGTAATTATTTATGTGAGAAAAGTCTAGGCGGTGATTTTGTTCACAATGGCAGGTCTGCTGAATTTGTGGATGATTGCGTTCAAACGTGTTGTTTGTGCAGCTTTGCAAATGTGCTGTATTTCATCTGTGTTGATTAGAGAGAAGCGAATGCTGTCAAGTTACTTCGTGTGCGGTGATTTGATTTGCTATACTGTTTGGTTGGTTGGTTGTTGCAGGCCCAAGCAGCAGCTCAGAGCGTAGCAACAACAACGACGCCTGTGGCTGGTGCTGCAGCGGCAACGTCAGGGGCAGTTGCAGCAGCCGCCACCACGCAGACACTTGAGCAACAGTGGGCTGCATACTATGCTGCCCAGGCGGCTGCAGCGCAACAGACTCAGCAACAGCAGCAGACACAACAGCAGCAGCAGGCTGTGCAAGGGACACAGCAGCAGGTGAGCAGCCGTTTTGGGTCTCGCTTGTTCCGTGCATTTATCTGTAACGAGTTGGTAGCAATATGACTTATTGTAGCTCCCTAGTAAACTTTACAAAGTTGATTTCTTCCTGTGTCCGGGAAACTTTACCGAGTCAAATTCTCTGTTCATCCTAAGGAGTTATGGCCGGCCAGTAATTAAAAAGACATCCGTTGTGAATCTTCCAGCTGCAGGGACATTCAACCCGTGCAATTCACGAAAGCTCTGAATTCACAAGTGTTGTGCCTGCATACTGGTGCTTCTAGATGGTGTTTCTGTGCTTCATGAACTCCCGTGCTACTGTTGACTTGGCAGATTGGGAACTCAGAATTTGCTCTCAAAACGCAATTTGAAAACGAGCCCAGAACATGGGGCGGCTGTACCTTCTCTTCTGTAGTAATGGCTGATTGACCGTGCTGCTGTTGCCTTGGCAGATTAGGAACTCAGAACTTGCTCTCACAATGCAATTTGAAAATGAGCCGTCCCAAAAAAACATGGGGAGGCTGTACCTCGTCTTCTGTAGTAATGGCCGAGTGATCGATCCCCTTTCTGCCATTGCATCTGAAACGGTCTTGGAATGACCAGGAGCAGCAACATCGGCCGAGGCAGCCCCATTAAACACCTCTGTATCAACAGGGAGTGATGGGGTCGCTTATTGGTGGTTGTTCCTGCTGGTCTTGACATGCCATTATGATTTTGTTTTTCGGCACACGGGGATGGGACTTCGGTAACGATCCTTGAAAGCGACCATTCAAAATATGACGGGGTTTTAGTGTTGCCTGACAGTTAGATGACGTGCATTTCCCAGACAGAGAGGCAATCACTGGTCTTGAGTTGCTGTGCGTTGTCTGTGCCAAAATGGCTCCAGAAGTGTTCTTTTGAATGGACTGAACGAGCCTGTCCCGTGATTCAGGCCATGCATAGCAATGGTGAAATTCCAGGTGATTACCTGCTGGTTGGAAGCAGCGTGTCCTGACATGTCCTTTGACCACGCTTGGTCTCCGCATTCCTCTTTTGGGTCTGCTGTCCAGGTAATAGTTCGTAACATCTTCTCTGAGTAATTGGCTGACAGCTTGATGAAGTGCATTTCCCAGACAGAGAGGCAATCACTGGTCTTGAGTTGCTGTGCGTTGTATGTGCCTAAAATGGCTCTAGAACGTTGTTCTATTATACATGGAACAAAGAGCCCGTCTTCGTATTCGGTTCATGCATAGCAATGTTGAATTCTCATGTGATTGCCCGCTTGTCAGAAGCAGCATGTCTTGACATGTCCTTTGGCCATGCTCGATCTCTGCGTTCCTTTTTTGGGTCTGCTATCCTGGTCTAAGCTCTGTATAGCAGGTGGAAGGCGGACATCCGTCATTCTGAGAGCAGGTGGCTAATCATTGCTCATGGAGGAGTGTGTGCATGTTTGGCAGAACCATGTTCATCTGGTTATGTTCTAGAATGGAGTGTTGAGAGGCTTCCCTCTGATTTTCCGTTGGACTTGGTGATAGGCACAGGTGGCAGCAACGGCCGCTGCATATTCGCAGCAGGCTGGGTATGTGCAACAACAGGGTTATCCGGCACAAGGGGCGGCTGCAACTGTATATTATCAGGTAAAGCAAATTTTATACTGTGTAAAAAAAGTTCGATTTGTCTGGTCCCTCTGGGTTTGGGTTTGGCTGCTTGGCTGTTCATGGAGGGTACACGGCAGTACGTTTCACTGGACGACAGCCCTGGATGACTCGTTGCTTGGGGAAGCAGGAGTATAGGGAGGGGTTGTTATTCCTCTGCTGTTTGCAAATTGTCTGGAATTAAGTCTGAGATATTAGAAAATTCTGCACAATGGAAATCTCTCCTCCATGACAGCGTTTGGCATCGGGAAAGCAATTGCTCAAGGAAACCCAATGCGTCTCTGAATGCCTTGGCATATAATGATGACAGTGCAAGTGGCATACCTTCCTAAGAACAGATGAAAGGCACGAGCCATGGACTTGTTCTTTTAATGTCGATTATGATTAAATCAAAACTACCTTTTCCCAGGCAAGGTTGATAATTGTGAATGTTGCTAATAAATTAATAATACAATGCCGTTTTCATCCCTGCACCAGCCAAAACGGTGAAAAAACAAACGCAGTGCTGGCCTTTCGGCGAAGCTTAGTTTGCCAGGGGAAATTGGCCGCAACAAAAGAAAGAGGCTGGTTTAAGATCAGTTGGCCTGTGCAGGCTTGAATGCTGATGCAGTTGAGCCTTACTGAATTCTGAGGGGGGAAATTGCATCATCTCCTTACCCAAAATTTGGTCTTATCGTCTAGGCGGGCTGGAAAGATAGGTACGGGATGTCGTACGGATAGAGTAGGACAGAGATGTATGGTGGCTCGCCATAGACTGAAGATAACCTTCACAGTGCTCAGGGAAATGTATGGTGATTCGCCACCTCTTAATCTTTTGTTTTGGCCTTGTTGGTATTTTTTTCCCAATGCCCCTCCTATGACTGAGAAGGGGCTTGTGTTATCAGAGGAGTCGGTACTTGTTGCAGGGGTGTATGTTTGAAAGGCAATTCAAGATGTAGTTTGCTCTCGACTGTTATGCTAATAATCTTGCTAATAATCTTACTGTCGAGGTGATGCCGTATATTGTCTGTTTCTCGTTTCCACAGCAACAGACGGCTGCTACAGCTGAGGCTGGGCAGAAAAGGACTGTAGACCAGGCGTATGCAACTCAGCAGCAACAACAGCAGGTGAATGCCTTCACCCAGGCTTTCCGTGCTTTGATGTGCTTTTTGGTGGCTTTCCATTAATGAATAAAATGTTGTGAGTTGCGTAAAGCTTGAGTTGACTTTTTTTTGTTTTTTTGCCGGTGCAGGCAACTGCAAATGCGTATGCCTACCAGCAGCCACAGGCGCAACAGGCGCAGCCTGCACAAGCTGCTGCGCAGCCACAAGCAGCTGCAGCTAGTGCTGCAGTCTACGGCCAACAGCAAGCCTATGATTACAGCAAGCGACCAAGATATTGAGGTTGGATTACGAAATGGCAGGGTGTCAGATTCTTTCCCCTGGCACAGGATGGAGATGAAGTCATGTATGCGAACAGAGTGATGAGCGGGTAGATCTCCCGGAAGAGTGTGGATCTTTGTGGTGCAGTGGATGTGTTGATGCTGGATCTTGCTGCGACTGGACGTATGGTGAGGTGGTTGGCTGGCTCCCTGAAGCAATGAAAGTGAGGTGATGGAGCTGGCGTGCCAGACTAATGAGGATACTCCGTGGCTGGTATGAGAAGGGCTCTTCTGGTCCCATATGCCTACACCAAGAGCGGCATCAGTTTGAAATTCAAAAGCGAATATTGCAATGCCAGTTATCACCTACCTAAAGCACAAAGCACAAGGGAAAGATCATCCAAAGGTCTTGGGGTTTGGGTATCTGGGTGGATGATGATGTGGGTTATGCGTGTGTCGGCATGCAAAATCTCAGTATAGCTGTCATGAAGGTCCAATCGGGCTTCAAAGTGGGTGCCAGGCCCTTGAAATCAGGAAAGAAACCAGTCTCTATTTTGACTTGTGGCTAGCCAATCCCTGACCCATCTGCGTGTAGGTTCTGTGGCCAAGTTGACAAATGTGATTTTTCTTGACAACGTCCGCTTGGGGTTGTCAGTGGACGGAATATCTGTAGTAGTACCATTTTGCACTGAAGCGAATTGCAAGGGATAGATGCGGGTTGGGGGGGGAGGCGAAGCGAGTGATCATTGATGCCGGTTATATCTGTGTCAGTGAAAGGTAGCAGAGGGATTGTTGTATTGTAAGAGGTGCAGTCTTCTTTTTTTTCTTTTCTGCAGTTGTCATGCTCCACTAGGGAATCGGTCAGATGATTATGAAGGGCCTGCCTGTTATGCAGTGGTTACATGTACTCTTTACTGGAAATGTTGTATGGCCCGCCTATGTATGCAACGGGCTGTGGGGTTCCCTTTTACGAAAGCGAAGTCATGGGGCTCACACTGTTCTCGAGTTACGGATTGCCAATTCTTGCACAGTGATTCACTGAGTGTGTATACCTTGTTTGAGTAGCTTGGGGCAGAACAGAAGCCCACGCACAATGTTTTAGCTAAATGAATAATTGAACAATGCTCGTCTGGACGAAGGGATGTGTGTGAGCCTCGAGATGGAAGTCTGTGTAAACATTGACCTAAGTATGTGGAAGAAATGGACAACGGGCCAGCAGAAGTTGGGGGGGAGGGGGGGTCTTATGCGTTCTGTCTTGTATGGGAGGGCTTCAAATACATATGCTCAGTTTTGTGGCTTATTGCGTCCCCAAGTCCACAGTTCCTTCATTATTCCTGAACCTAGGAAGGTATGAGACATAACAGGTGAGGAAGAGCGTCCTCTTAGAGTGCTGTGGAACAAGAGTCCACATTCTGCAGGGTCTTTTCTATCGGGTTGGGCACCAGTTTTTCATGAACCTTGGCTTCTTGAGAATTTGTGATTCTGCTGTTGAGTCCGTTTCCCATGCAGGAGTCCCTGAAGTAGTGAAAAGATGGGGTTGGGGATTTGGAAGGCAGTTTGTGCGGTGTTGCGGACTGTCGCTAAGTCTTTTTTTCCAACAAATGTGCTGGTTTATGAATGTATGGCAACGGAGGTTTACGATCGTTCCAGGGTATTGTGTGCGGTGATGCGCCATTCGTAAGCCATTTTCCTCGTGGGATTCGGTGGTTTATGATGGATGATCTCTGAATGTTATTGTTGTCGTCTCGAAGAAGTTTGCAGTTGAGGGCCGTTGCTGTTATTCTTGTATCCTGGCTTTTGACTAGATTATTTGTGCTCATAATGGGGGGGACTGTCCAGTGCTTTCATCTGTTGAGCATAGGACAGTGTTCCCTCAGCCATGAAGGCCGAAATAGAAGCCGGCGTCAGCATGCTTTTTGTTCTGCCCTCGGGAAGGCGAAGCTCTTTCTGATTGATATTTCCTTTTGAGGAATGGGAAGATGACTCAGGTAGGATGGTGAGATGGTGTGTTCCGCTTGTATGTCTGAAGAGCGTTCAGGAGTTGTGTTTTTTTTTTTTTTTAAGGGTCGGGTCTGGCAACGATGCCGAAATTGGAAGGGTTGACATCATGGGGTATTCAGAATGGTGGTCTTTATGTTTTTTTTCCGCAATTCATCGGGCTCGAAGAAAGAAAGCCCGAAACAGAATGACCAGCCTTGCAGTGAGTGTATTGGGAGCAAGAGTAACATTTGAACGACCAGACTGGCAGGCCTCCTCTCCCTTGCTCTCTCAGCCGTGATCTGACCGACAATGTTTCTGTGGTTTTCTCCTTGTCCCAGATCTGTATTCCGTTTAGAATGAAGGGCTGATTATTCTCACCATGAGACCCATGAACAGTGTGAGGAGCTTTATTCTCATGATAGAAGATGGTTATAAACGCAGGTGGGTATACCATCTTGACAAAGGTGCCATGCCTTCCTTTTTCAAGAAGAATTCTTCTAATGCAGTGGTGTGCAAACCCTCTAGCGTACATGCGGTGTCTACCACCGATCGCAAGCGGAACCCAGCAGTTTACACCTGGCGGGGCATTCTTGTAAGGTATCTCTGGGGAATGCGACAACAGGCAACACGTTCTGTGCCTTATGCCCAACCTCTCCACCCAGCACATCTTTCTATGATGATGTTGGTATATATATTTGTTTGTCTGGAAAAAAAAGCTTTCCCAGTCTTTCCTTTACGCTAATAGAGTGTGCGACCTGCTAGGCGTGCTCAATCGATCAGGATTTGCACCTGGCATTGTTCATTGATCGAAATTTGGAGTACCTGGTGATTAGTAAGGTGAGTCTGAAACTTTTGAATGAGTAGTAAGATGCGCCTTTAACTCTGGAAATGCAAAATGCAATAGTATTCGCGTCTGATTTTTGGAGGTGCTTGGAGAGCTTGCATAACAAAGCATTTTACTGGTCCGGCTAAATTGCTGTATATGGGCATAGGATGTGGATTTTGCGGAGCTCCGCATCGCCTCACGTTTGTCTTGTAGGAGTGTTGACAATACAAGTCATTCAATTCCAGTTTCTGTGCACTTTTATTTGTTGTAGCGTAGTGGTTATGGTTGGCTGTTCATCGAGGAATTAAAAATGTGAGGCCATCTTAACGAGTACCCAAGAGGCGCTAGTCAAGGTTAACTTGCGAGAAATATAACTGATAAAAAGCTGGTCGTGGCTCTCAAATGAAACGGGCGTGTAGAGCTATTGTCATGCTTACTGAGAAATGGATCTGTCCGTCGTGTCTCGCGAACGTTCCTTACGGAATGGAGACTGGACCGTATACGTAGCAGAGTAGGGGATATAATCGACTATATCGGCCATGGAAGAATGCCTAGTATTTGAAGGATTACTGAGAATGTGGTAATCTAGCTGACTTTCAATGACTCGACAAATATTGGCTTCAGATTATCTACCAAAGGAATAGCATTATGGCCTACCTTAGAAAGAAACACAGGGGATGCGAAACAGGAAATAAGAAAGCAGGAGATAAGCAGGAGATAAATAGGCTTCAAAGTTCAAACTCAAATGAAGTATGGTCACTATGGTGTGATATTTTTCGATCTACTACGAGAGGGATGAAGATTGATAACTATGAAAAGAACTGATAGAAGACTGAGAACAGGATGGCGTCCCGTTCTGCACTCTGTGGAGTATGTATCGATGTCAAATTCTACTGGTCCTGTGTATTGTGAGAGATTGTGAACTGTTGAGGAATAAGCATATGAACTGATGAAGAATAAGCATGAATGTGGTTACAAGTTATAACGTATGCCCGCCATCCCAGGGGGCCAAATGAAATAGTTTTCACTGGTCTCCTCTTCTGTCAAATTCGCTGATCTCATATTCCATTTAAATGCCATGAAGTAGGGAAGTGGTATCTAAACCGTCCAGTGCGATGAAATAGGCAAATTGTATCTAAACCGTCCAGCGCTCGCAGAGGTTTTGTCCGTCAAATGAACCATTTACACAGGGAAAAAGTTTCGCTAATTCTTGTCAATAATGGTCGTCTAAGCGCAAACGTGTTGGCTTCAGCGTGCCTGTATAGCATTTGGGAAAATGTTGCAGCGCATTGTCTAAAGGATTGGATGGGTGCGCAAATGGTGATGGGGCTTACTGCGCAATCTCGACGATGCTCCATTGCCTCCTGATGAGTCGGTGAAACTCCGACGAAACAGTTTGTCACAGCCCCTCGTTTGTTGTCCTCTTCTCTCTCTCTGCCTACGGTTTACCGGGCAGTTCTATTTGTGACGATATATATGTATATATAGTGTGATGAAAGAGATTTGACTAGTGAACTGGTGCTCTCTTCGGAAAGGGGAAGTTGTAGGGGTTGTGTCTGTGATTTAAGAAAGCCGAGTTGTAGGGCTTTCGAGTCACAGGTGGGTCGATATATGAGGTGCCATAAATGCACACCGTATGGGAGTACTTTGGGCAAAGTGGCGGGTGGGAAATGTAAGGTGGGATAAAGATATCTGAATGTAAAAGGGGTATTGGGATTCATGAGAGGGACTGTGGACAAAGGTAAGGGGAAGTTGGGTGTAACGAGATCACTCCAGAAAACATGAGGGTTTAGGGGAACCGCTGAATTGGACTTATGCGTGTTGGCTGTCTCTCACAGGACTCGGTTGGGACCGAAATCACAACATCGGTTTGCGGTGTAGGTGAGGAGTAACCTGCTGCAGGCTCCCTGGGGGACCAGTCTCGTGTCTGCTGCCTGCATCCCTACGCCCCCTTACTCTCACTAAAATATGGCTCGGTCCAGGTCCAACAAGTGGAAGACAGCCAGATAAGTATCACGTGAACAAAGTTGTTGCAGATGGCAGAACAACATCTGTAGTTTTCTTGAAAACCGGGCTCATTTTCAGTGAAGGAAACCGAAAAGGAAGCAAGACGTAGTGGGCCGTCTTTGTCCGTCTGTCGTATCTTGAGAAAGAAAAAGAATGCAAGGCCTAGTGGGTGAAGGGGAGGACGCCTCAGAGTAAATGGGTACCCTTCAGTTTTAAGTCCAAGATTGGTTAGGTGACAAGGTCCACCTAACGAAAGACGAGGACCACCTAACGAAATGCAACTGATGCGTCAAAATCTGAAGAAAGAAAGAAAGCAAGCAAGAAAGAAAGGACCTAGTGGGGGAAGGAAGGAGTGGGTGCTGAGTTAAAGACTAGTCCGGTGACGAGGACCACCGAACGAAAGGCATTCTTCGAATTTATATTTTGATGTGCCAAAGCATTGTGATGTCAATGCCCATTGAAGCCCTGATGATTCTGCTGTGCTAATCGTTGGGCGAAGTCCAATTCCACCTGATTTGGAAATCAGGTGAGTTGTAAGAAAAGAGGTGATAGTGTAATGGGTGCGACGGGGTGGGTGGTATTGGGAGTACTATGTCCTGTGCTTTGGGACTCGTTTTTCTATTATTATGGAGTGTGGCGGCAATCAGGTGGATCGGGGTACAGAATGAGTTAAAAAATGAACGTGACCTTAGCTTTTCAAAATAATTTTTTGATTGGCATATAAAGTGTCAGCACTTTTTGTAATCCAGAACAACGGTGGAATATGTACTTACGTGATAGTCCATGAGCTCTTGGGTACTCAAACAAGGTGGAATATGTGCTTACGTGATAGTCCATGACCTCTTTGAGTACTCAAACAAGCAACCGGCTGGAAAGGAACTGAAAATGGAACATGGTATGTATGATACGTGGGTGAGACTGTAAAAGGCTTTAACTGAAGATCTGATGTGGCATATTACGGGAAGTGTGTATATCGAAGTGGAATACACTCCAATTGGTGGCAAAGCAAATATCCGGATTAATGGAGCAGTAGCATTAGTACTGAAGCAGCAGTACCAATCAATTATGAGAAATGGTGGTGATGAGGTCTGGAACTGTGCATAGGTAAAGCGGCAAATACTTTTATCGGAGTCTTGTTCGATTTAATGAGTGCTCCTTGTTTGCAAGGGTGAGGGCGTTCATTTATGATTGAGGTTGACAAAACCGCCACCACCAAAGAATGAACCCTTTTGAAGAATATTTGATTGAGGTTTTCTTCCCTTGCGGCAATTTCAGTGTAAGGCTATGGACGCGTGTAGTAGGTTCGATATTGAACCAGCAATCAATCAGGTCTGCCTCTTCTATATATCGTCTTTTGTCACTTGCAAAGTGACAGTCGTACGGATAGGATTATGTGTTGTACCATTGCTGGTCTCGTGCGAGAAGACTTATTCGATGCCTGTCCCATGCCGCAAGGTGGCCCCTCAGCAGGATCGTAAGTGCAGTGAAACGAACCAATGCTGCTGCTTTGTGTTGGCTTAAAACGTCTGTGATTGGCATCGGTACCTCTGCCAGAAATGAAATGTCTCAGTGTAGAAGAGAATGACCAAAAATGAAAGGTCTCAGTCTAGAAGAAAATGAAAGGTCTCAGTCTAGAAGAAAAGGAAAGGTCTAAGTCTAGAAAAAGTGAATTTCTTTTTCTTTCTCATTGAGCTTATTAGACTTCGCTGTTTTGGACGCAGTCCTTCACTGTCATCCGTACGCCTTGGTTATTCAAATTAAGAATTCAAAACTGGAACTGGAAAAGGTTCGGGAGAGGAGAGAGGACCCACTCACTAAGGTAATATAGGAGGGAAGGCTCCCGTCAATGAATGGGGATTTCTTGGCCTTCGGACTACTGGAGCAATTGCAGTACTCTCCTTGAGGGCGACTTATAAGGCGCAAATGAACAGTGAAATGGCTGTTTTTCAGATGTACTAGGGCAGAAGCTATTGGATTGGGAGGGGAAGGTCGTTTTGAAGGCGTGTCATTTTCTTTGCGATTACTATTCGTTGATGTCAAAGAAAAAGCGATCGGTATGAAAATCCTAAATTTCGTATACACCTCATAGACCTTGTGCAGGTCGGCGAAAGGTGACAGCTTGAAAAGTTACGACTGCAAGAGTAGGGAGTTGAGTGCGAGGGAGAGCGAAGAGAACGTCCAACCTTTCCATTTTTTCAAAACATGACCTGTTTTGGTAGCTTTGAATGCTGGGAAAGGTGGTGGGCGGTGCTGTGTCTCTGGTGTGCAGGTTTATTCACCACCATGTGGCGTTGAACAAGATCCTGGGACTGTCTTCTCTGCATCTACCACGCCTGTCTCTGCGCACTTGTGCATTCTTGGGATGGTAACCGAACCATAGGACAGAACACTGCGGAGGCTGCATTGCTTGGTGATTCGGATGACGTCCGGCTTTTTGTCCAGAACGGTCGTTTAGCCTACTCTCCCTCTTTGGTACCAGTGAGTGGATGGATCTCGTTCCCTTTTCTTGTTCCCTTTTCTCCCGCACATGGTTCGGGAGTGTGCACTCTGAGCACGAAGCGTGCAAAAGGTTGGTCGGCCACTTGCAGGTTTTTTATTTCACTGTGAGGGATATTTAGCTTGCCTGGGGGGAATGGTTGCTGGGGAGGTGTGGACTTGTTTCCCTGCCGTGTGCTCATAGCAGGGTTTCCTCTCTTCAGGGTGCTGCTTGTGGCCCCAATGGAGACGCTGCAGATGGCTACGAGGACTGATTGTTCAGCTATCAGCATGTTCTCCATTGCCGCATTGCCCTTTGCCGACAATTATGTGGTTGAGGGTAAGAAGGGGGGCCTTGTCTGTAGATTCATTTGGGGGCGAGCATTTTCGAGTATAGATTGGCGGAATGCCTTGAAACTTCCTGCTGTAACACAGAGGAGAGAGTGGACTGGTGTCGGACGTCCTCTGGGAGCATTTTGGAGTATAGATTTGCGGATTGCCTCCGAACTTTCTGCAGTAGTTCTCCTTGTTCGAAGGGCATGGCTGTTCACATCACGGATAGTGATCTCCCACAGGTAAATGGAAAATAGGGAGTGTCAAGTCCGGAGTGGTATCTTCTTCAGGAACTGTTTGGGTATGGTATCCCACCACCGCTAAGGGAACATAGCCAGGGAATATGGCTAACAGGGAAGGGAACATAAAGAGGAGTAATTCGGGACAGAGCTTTCTGTAAGTGTACTATAGTAGAGAGTGCAGGGGTGTAAAAGGACGTGTGGGTAGTGGTCTAGTTTTTTTTCTGAGAAGAATGTTTGCAAATGATGTGATTGTAGTCTGGATATTAATGCATGGTCCAGAAGGCATGAAGATTAAGCACGTAATGGAACTCGAGGTTTTCACTGCATGCGGAAGGCCGACCGCGTAATAAATTCTAATGGGCTTGTGATGGGATCTCTGATGATGAAGATAACAAGATTGTTCTTTGTGGTTTCTTTTTTTCTCAGTCGAAATGCCTTCATGATGGGACCTGCGGCTGCAGATGATTGCAGGCTGGATGGCAGGTGATCACACAATGTAAATGAAAGATGAGAGATAAAGAGTTTCCTCAGGGTAATGAACCCAGTGCCTGTGTAATATTGTGTGAGAAATTTGACATCTGCACGGGGGAGTAAAAATTTGACATCTGCGCGGGGGAGTAAAAATTTTCATCTGCACGGGGGAGTAAAAAATTAAAGTCTGCGTGGCATCTGGTCCTTCGGGACGTCCGTTGGCGCCTGCGCAAGGATGATGCATAAAACTTGACATCTGTGGGGGGAGAGTGAAAGTTTTGACATCGTCCGTTGGCGCCTGCGCAAGGATGATGCATAAAACTTGACATCTGTGGGGGGAGAGTGAAAGTTTTGACATCCGCACGGGGGAGTAAACATTTGACATCTGCACTGTAGATGATGATAACGGCCACAGGTCAATTTCCTATGCTGGGTGGGTGCGTTCGGATTGTGACTGCGAGTCTGATCACTGGCCGAGGGCTATTGAAGCTGTATACAACTGTCCTGAGATGCTGGGTGGGTGCGTTCTGACTGTGACTGTGAGTCCGCCAGCTGAAGAGGAAGCTGTATTCAACTGTCCTGAGAATGTAACTGATTTTCATAGCCTCCTGTTTTTGTGTGATTTTGAACAGAGAGTCGGCTCACTGTGAAAATAATTCGTCAATTTAAACGTTGTTGAAGACGAAATGGTTTGTCCGTGTACGGAGGGAAAGTGTGACTGTGACTGTGAGTCTAATCAGTGGCGGAGGGCTGAAGAGGAAGTTGTATTCAACTGTCCTGAACTGTTTTACAGACTCCTGTTCTTGTGTGATTTTGAAAAGAGAGTCGGCTCACTGTGAAAGTAATTCGTCAATTTAAACGTTGTTGAAGACAAAATGGTTTGTCCGTCTACGGGGGAAAATTATGAGCCCTCTCACATGAGATAGAGGTAGGGAATGCACGTGGGCTATGTTATAAGCAGTGGTCAAAGAAGTCAATGTGTCACATCCTCCTATCAGACGTCCTAGAAATATTTGGCGGTGTGTCGAGGAGTAGCTTTGCCATAAAAGTTTCTTGATTTGGGAGTCTTCTGAACTAATTATAATGACGTAAAAAAAAAAAAAGATGAAGCACTGATGCCTGGTTAATGTAAGAGTTTTTGTCTTCCAAAGTTAAATCTATCAGGGTGATGTGTATTTCACTATTTTGTCAATCCTGATTTTAACGGAGCTCTACCTAAGCTGCCTATCCCGCCGTGCGAACTGCGGGGGTGCAAGGGAGATGCATTGCGATGCATTGTGATGCATTGTGAGACATTTGCATCATGTGATGCATTGTGATGCATTGTGATGCATAGCGTGCGCGGTAGAGTGAAACATCCGCGTGGGAGGTTTTCTCTTTGATTTTTGATATTTCCTTGCAGTGGAACCTTGACCCTGGACCCTCGGGTTGTTTGTCAATTTTGTGCTAGAGGAGTTAGGAATAAGAAATTCTAGGAGTAAGTGTGGATATGAGGAAGGTCGCTATGTAGACTGGACATAGCATTGCGGAGCCCTTGTGCACTATTGGCTTAGCAGTTTGGACGAGTAAGTGCGGATATGAGGAAGGTCGCTATGTAGACTGGACGTAGCATTGCGGAGGAGCCTTTGTGCACTATCATGTGCTTTGTGTACTGACTTCTGTGAGTGGATTTTTTCCAACGGCAAGGCAGGTGAGGTATGTACTGATCTGATGGAGTCGATGGTTGGGTTTTCCTGACTGCTAATAGTTGTGGTTCAACCACCAGTACTTGCCCCAGCTATCGCAGCCGAGCCTGGAAGTGCCCTGCGCGCCGTTGCCTTTAAAGTGCCAATTCCATTTTCGTTTTCGGAAAGGCTGGCGGCGCCAGCCTTCTAGGTCCGGTTGCCCGAAGCGCGAACTTCGCCTAGGGTTAACGCTAAGGCCCGCGGCCGATATATGGGCCAAGTACTGGTGGTTTAAGTAGTTTGGAGGGAGAGTTGTTGCAATTTGTCTGATTCGTGACTAAAGGAAGTGTATCCGGAGCCCTGTTTTATGTTTTTCTTTTTTTCTTTTTTTTCGGGGTAAGGTGGCTTTGATTATAGCTGGAAAGGGGTACCAGAATCCCTTGGACGCCTCTCTGGAAACAACAATCTGTGGGAGTAGTAGTTCTTGTGCCGTTGACCACCTGAGCACCTCTCTGGAAACAAGTAGAGGGCAGCAGTAGCTGTTGTGCTGTGTTGGGGTGCTTTCGAATCTCCGCTGTCTTTTCTGACTTCTCTGACTTTTCTGACGAAGTGGTAATTGCACGTTGTACTGTTCCAAAGTGTCTGCTCTCTTTTATGATTTCCCTGTTGTGTTCTGTGCATGCAATGACCAATGCCATTACTGGACATTGGTATGAGGTGGGTGGAATACTGTACTGATAGCCTTGCGCAGACTTTGGCGGAGCTTTTACGAAGGTTCGACATGTTATTCTGATGATATCATGACAAAATTCAGGTGTGCTTTGTCAAATCTGTTTTTGAAGGTCCGATGTCGAGTAATTAAGGGCGTTCTGTCTGGCAGAGGGTTTACCACGCGTCTAGTAATATGAGAGATCCTTTGAGGGTTTACCACGCGTCTAGTAATATGAGAGAACACGCTTCAACGGTGGGTCGATGCTAATTTGCCTTACTTGTGTATTGTAATCATTCGGTTGAACAGGATGCAGCCTTTTCTCTGAGCTGTTCTGTTGTGCTTGCGGTGCAACGTCATTAACTATTGAGAGGAACAGTGAGTTAGGATCGGTGCGTGTGGTTAACCAAGTGGAGATGTGTCTGGCGAGGTGCAGTTTGATGAGAATTGTCAAACTGGGAATGGTTCCTTCTGGCATCGTGAAAGTCTATGCATCGAAATGACATTGGGCGGGGAATATGATTGTGTTTTTCTGTGCGAGTGGGAGAGGGCTTGAGGAAGCAGTGATTTTTATTTTTGGCGGGACAAGTTCTTTTGTGCACGGGATGTCAGAGTGAAGGAGCTTATGTGGGCCACTATAGTAAATATGTTTATGTATTTGGACAGTATGGCATTATTAATACTGGAAGCAAAGTGATGGTAAAGCAAGAACCTTCTCTGTTTAGAGAATGCAGGTAGCTTCGATGGCCCTTAGCGGAAGAGAAATCTTTAAACCGAGAATATTTTGAAGCACCATCTCGTAGTTCCGTAAAACAAGTGGATGAATGCCGCAGTGAATTGCTCAGGATGGTGTTAATCCTTTTACGCAATCAGACATTCGTAGACAATGAGAGGTGCTGTACCGTAGCGTTGAAACACAGAAGGGAAGGAATAAGACAATTAGGAATAAGACAATTTAAAAGTACATGGTTTCCATGAGCCTGTGAAGTTGAGGAGTAAGGAAAACGATGCGCATTCAGCAGTATGGAACTGCTTTTTTTCTTGTAAAAGGAGGAAGGATACGCATGCGAAGAATTTGCGGAAAATGCTTGCAAAAATGGTACCGCAGCGCCAAGTTGAGCTTTTGTTTGGATGAGCAACAAGTCCCATGCATTTGGCATTCGGGTACCCTGTGAGAAGGAACGTCCTATGTTCAGATGCACAAATATATGCGAACAGGACGAAAAAACTGTGGGGCTTATACACATCAGTGGACTTGTGCCGTGCTACAACGGGGGTTGATTCTGAACATCAACCCATCTTGTAAATGCTGTGGCTGTTTGTAAATGCGGAGGGGGGTCATATCAGAGTCCCTTGTCAGTAGAGGGATTCTGTTGTGAGGACATGTTAGAAGTGAATGTGTGAAAAGAGCACTGGAATGAAAAGCAGCCGGTAAGGAGAATGGAGTCCACCAAATAGTGTGGCATTACTATTTCCCACCGACGCATGGAAGGTCGATGTGAGAAGCAGCAGTAGACTGTTGCAGAACGTGCATGTTCGCAGCAGCCACAGTGGAGGGAGGTGAATGAGTGAATACAAGTGAACGTGGAAGGACAGCGGGGAAGGGGAATGGAGTGGACTCGTCTAAATCCAGTGGCTATACTATTTGCCGGGGATGCATGGAAGATGAACAGGAATAACTTGTTGGATACAACGTTGGTGTTGGCAGAGAGAAGCGTGGGGTCTATACTGAGGGCGCCCGTGGCTGTGGGCAAATGTGCGGCTGTCGTGCTGCGCAAAGTAACGGGCGCTTTTACATGTCTTTAGGAAAAGAGCAGAAGAAGAGCCCCTGCTGCAGAGTGACGGGAGCTGTGACACGGCTGTAGGGAAGTCCTAGAAGAACAACACCTCATGCAGAGGAACGAGAGCTGTGACTAGTTTGTAGGAAACCGCAGAAGAAAAGCATGCAACCGTCATAGGGCAACGGGACACTCTTGAAGTATAGGCAGAAAAGAATATGATCGTCCTGGGATAAGCAGAAGAATTAATTAACAGGATTTCAAGAGGATGAAGAAAAGACCTCTGTAGTATGAAACGAACGGGCGAACAACGGTGTGGTATCTCCGTCTTGAACGGTGATTCAACGGTGTGGTATCTCCGTCTTGAACGGTGATTTTCTCGATTATTTGCAGGACTCCGTAGCAAGTCCAATGTCAGGTCAAGCCAGATCTTGCACACCAGTTGGCTGCTGCAACTGAATTCTTAACAATGTGCAATAGGGAAGGACAAACCAATGTTTTCACCGATTCAGTTGGTATTCGTCGAGTTAGAGATCCATACGTAGGGGCGTAAGGCCCTCTGCACAGGAATGGATTCCATCAAGCGACCTCGGGCGCATAAGCCAAGTCTCTTAAACAACCAGAATGGCTGCGGAAAGATGCAGTCGAAACATTTCTTAGTCGGACAAATTTGGACGCTCGTGTAGCCCTGTACGTTCCTAAAATCGTGGCTTGTTAATGGGCACGACTTGAGGAAGTAACGG